CAGGCCAAAGAAAACAAGCCCAAGGGCGAATTTTGACCCATATTTGCCACTTCTGATCTAGAGCTTCCAAACTCCATGTGTTTTCTTTTTCTTACAAGGCGTCTCCTTACCCAGGGGTTGGCGGAAGTTCTTCCTGTTTGGTTTGGCCCATTTTTATCAATGGCTTTAGGACTTGGTCACAGAGAGCACATTGAGGATGGACAGGGCATCATGGGAACACTTTTACCAACTCCCCCCCTCAAGGCTCTTTTTTTTAACTCCTCCCCAAAGTTCCCCTGAATGAGTTGTCTTCTTTACAAATCTGATCACATTATCAGCCCTGTCCCATCCTTGAAATTAGTCCATAAGTTCCTTAAGCTTTCAAGGTCCTTCACAAATTGATCTTCCGAGCTTCAAACCTTCCTACTTTTATTCAAGCATTTCCCGCCATTTGGGATGCTCTTCCCTCGTTTTGAGCCTGATAAATACCTACTCATCCTCTAAAACCCAGCCCAAATGTTCCCTCATCTGGGAGAGATACCTTCTCCAGTTGAATTAACTCATTCCTTCTAGGCCTACAGTGCCTTATTCATACATTCCCATAGTATTTATGATTGTGATTAGCTATAGGCAGAGACATTTTTCTTTCCGGGCTTTGACCTTGTCAAGGTTAGGGACCTCATCGTATTAATCCTTGCAACTTGACTGTCCGGCTCAGCTCCGTGTACACCTGAGGCCCTCAGAAAGTATTTACAAAACTGAGTCTTTCTACTGGCCCCCGTTAGTTCACTGATTCAAACTCCAGGGACCAGGGTGCGGTTCAGTGTACAAAATGCCTGAAAAAATTGTTCCATTGCCATTCCAGCACATAGCACACACTCAGTAAATATTTGTATAAACCAAGGTGTGAACGAGGAGCATACAGAGGACTGGTTGCTTGTGGTCTCACATTAGCAGAGCCCTTTTGAACATGGCTTCAGTGGAAGTCAGTCAATGAGGGAAGGAGCTTGGAGGATTGTGAAACTAGGTTCTTGTTCACCTGATGAGGGAGAACTGGAAGACGCTGGAAGGTGGCTTTGAAAGAATGCCCCCTACGTTGTGAGCTGGTGAGAGGCATTTCTCCTGCCCACTCGGCCAGCCTGGCGCTCAGGAGCGGGGAGGCCCCTGGTCTCAACGCACAGACCCACAGGCCATCCTGACACCCGCGAAGCTCAGGAGCCTGTTTCAGGAAAGGGGAGGTCACAGTGGTAAAGGTTAGTTCTGCTTCCAAGGTCATTAATTTTCTAGAAAGACAGCCAGGTTCCCTTGCTGTGCATTTGCACGTGCCTGTGCTCTCCGCGTGCTGTTTTTCATGAGGGGAGGGACAGGGTAACCAGCCGGTGTCAGGAATTAAAATCCCCGCCATTCCCCCAGAGTGCGTGAGCAAAGCAGCTCCTGGGACGGCTTTATGTCAGCACTGGGTCCCAGGCTTGTTCACCAGCAGGGGTCCCTTTAGCCTTGTCCTTTAGCCTTGTCCAAACATCTACTAGATGTTTGCATGGTTCCCCCCCTCCCCTCCTTACCAGACTTTATTTATTAAAAAATAATTCTTTTTCATTATTTTAACCGAACATACAAATGTACCACTCCCAGCTTCTGACTGGCCCAAAGTGAACAGCTAGACTACCTCAAATTGGTATCAAGAGAGCCAAAGCAAAGGACTTGGCATTTTTATTAGCGAGTATTCCCCACGGCAACGAAAAATATGGTTTCTGGCTGGCTTTTGAAAATGCTGAAAGATGCTGAAGGGCCTGAATAATGAAGCCTCAGTATATGTTAGCTATCATCATCATCATCATCATTACTATCACTATCGTAGCTTCCAGGAAGCTGTGAATACCAGATTAAGATCACAATCCATTCATAGATGGTAACAATGACAATGATGATAATGGAGATTCGTAATAGCTCACTCTGAGCCAGGCATTCTTTCACATGCTTTATATGCATGCTCTCATTTAGTCTTCATCATGAACCTAGGAGAGAAGTGTTGCTATTATCCCCCCCCCCCACACACACACACACTTTGCAGACGAGGAGTGAGCTGGGGAAGTACTCACCCATCGCTAGTAAGTGTGGTGTTAGAGCTGAGGTTTGGTAGCAGTGGGGTAGTCTCGCTGCCGTGCAAGTCAAAGGGTCTTCTCAATCTGAATCCTCAAAGAAGCATCAATTATATTCATTTGTGGCTTTATGACTTTTATCTTCTTCGTGTATTGCACTCGTTCTAAAAGGAAAACCCCACAGACGCTTATGTGGCTCTTCATAGGGCATCGTAGGCATTTGGCTAGATTTGAATACACTTTTCCATATTCTGGAGGTTGTACGTATGACTTCCTCATGGTGAGCTCTTCATAGCAGCCTCCACCTCTGATCTCGCCAGGAGGTGCTCTGCTCATGGAGAAGACGTTGGTATAAACTTCCTGATGGACTGAACTCTCCTCCCTCCGCCTCCCCCCGCCCCTTCCTTTGAGTTCATATCGAATGGTTTCTTCAAAGGACATACACACTATGTTTCACCCCTCTTAAACATGTCCTGCTGTTTTGCCTGCTTGCAGGGGGTGAATCAGAGCTCACCTGGCTCACCTTCTCTCCCCTCCTCTCTGTCTCTGTGTCTCTCTTTCTCCCCCCTGAATGGTGTCAGGTGATCCAGTAAATGTTGGGGTTTGGTTTGAGTCTCCATGATAACAACAAGTAAATCCAATATTTAGTCCAGAAGTTGTTTCCACAGCCCATAGGCATTCCTGAGAACTTGGTCAAGTGGTGAGAGGTAGTAGACAGAGATTTGGGATTGTAACAGAAATCCCCTGAACCAAATCCATATATATATAAAAGCCTAAGTGACCAGCCTACCGGATGACGGCCAACTGGCCAGTAACTGTAATGCACACTGACCAGCAGGGGGCAGTCACTCAACTCAGGAGCTGCTGAGCTGCAGTCACTTGGCAGCCATGGTTTTTGGGTGCGCCCAGAACCAGAGAGGAGAGAGCCTGATTCTGGGATGAGTCTTGCAATCCAGTACTCCTTGGAGGATGTTGGAGAGCCAGTTTTGGCCCGATCCCCGCAGACTGAGGAACCCCACTGGTGCGTGAATCCAGGCACTGGGCCTCTAGTGTAATAAGAAATGGGGGAAGGGGGTCTATTTTATGACTGTGGGATTGCTTTGTAAACTCCAGGAGCAGTACCACAGCCTGGAACCACTAGCCTTTAAGATTCCCTCTCCAGCCTTGATCTCTGCTTTCTTTCCTCCTCAGACCAACGGTCTCTGCTACTCTGAGTACAAGGTGGTCAGAAGAGGGCTGCCTCAGTGATAATGAGCCCTGGAGAGACTGGCCTTTCTCCACCCCATGCCAAAGTCCCAGGGAAGGAGCTTTGATTGGCCAGCCGGGGTCAGGTGACCAGCCCTGGTCCAAGGTGAAGGGATCATTTTAAACACGGCGGCTGGAGCGCACCAGGGTAGATCCTGGGGCCAGTTAAGAATATCCCTGTTTTCAGAGTTGAAGGTTCACCCCACTTTCCTGAGGCTGCTCTCTCCCCCGAATGTCCCAAGGCTCTGTGGTAGACCACAGACTCGCCCGCCTCCTGCCTCTCCGGACATCAGGCGGTCACCCTGCCTGAGTCTGGGGTTCCTTCTGACGGTGCCATGCCCAGGCCAGGACCTAGATGGGCATCGAGACAAACTGTGGGTCATCCATGAGAACAAGAAGCAGTGTTGGCGGTCGAGCTCAGATGGTCTGAAGGTGGTCTGGTTCTCCACGAACTCTAGGAAGAAACTGGCGTTTGGTAATGGGGAGTGCATGCCAGGGGCCGGAGGCGAGTGCCCAGCAAACCTGGGACCCCAGCAGGGCAGAGCGAGGGGGGAGGCCACTGGGGCACGTGCCAGCCATTGCTATGGCTCCTGCATCTGAGAGTCCGCAGACCGGTGCTTCATGTGTTCCTCTTTGCGCTTAGGGTTCCATAAATTTATTCTGTGTGCTTTTATTAATTTAAAACTTTTTTCATAGAAATTTATTTTATTTGTAAACATTTATTTATTTAGTTAATCCTCAGACCAACTCTCTGGGGGGGGGGGTATTTTTTCCATTGCTTTTTCAGAGAGAGTGGAATGGAGGGAGGGTGGGGGAGGAGAGAGAGAGATATCAATATGATAGAAACATGGACTGGTTGCTCTTGCACACCTCTCAACTGGGCCTGGGGGTTTAACCTGAAACCCAGGTATGTGTGCTTGACCAGGACTCGAACCCATGACCCTTTGGTACCCAGGTTGACGCTCCAACCGCTGAGCCAAGCTGCCCAGGGCTATTTGTAAATTTTTGTAGAATTTTAAAAATAATTCTAGAAATTCAGAAGCCTGAAGAAAAAAAAAAAAAAAAAAAGGAAAGCAAACACCACTTATAAACTAATCACTGGGAACATATTAGGGTAAATCTTTTAGTGTTGTTTATTTTGTGATTGTGTTTTTAACGAACACATTTGGAGGGGAGGTAAAAATAGGAACATACATACATACTCAGTAATTGGTTTCAAACTTGGTTTTTATTCCTCAAAGCAAGGGGCTCTCTCTCGTGTTACACATGGTTTTCAGCAGCATGGGGTTCGCCACAACATCCCACTGCAAAGGCGGAGGGAGGGTGGAGAAAATTGCCAGCTGCATTCATTGGCTCCCAGCGGAACCCTGAGAGGCTGCAGCCCTCCGTGGTTTATCTTTTGTTTCTGATAAAATTATGGAACACCTTCCTCACAGTGCCCTCATGCCCACTCTCACAGCTGGCCGCGGGCAGCAGGCCCTACTCCTGCATGTTCCCAGGGCCTCATGGGCCAGCCATGCTGCATGGACTCGCTGAGATCACCCCAGCTGGTGGCTCCAAGGGGCTCACACACAGCACAGCCACTAGCAGGCTCCTTGCACCCCTGCCGCGCTCTGCCCAGGGCTGCTCATCAGTGTCGGCTGTCAGTCACGGCCCCTCCTCTCTTCTGCTCTGCAGGCTCTGTCCCCGGAGGTGCAGAGGGAGCTGCTCCGGAGCTGACCTGCCACAGAAAATCAGGTAACATCAGCTACCAAAACCAGAACCCTTTTCAGACCAGTCAAGTGAAAAGTACTCTTACAAGCCATGAAAGCTCATTTTTTCCACAATTCTACAAGGGAGATAGCATTACCCCCATTTTATAGATGGGGAAACTGAGCCTAGAGCAACGTAGCGCCATTCCGCTGATAAGGGAGATTTAAACCCAAGACTGGGCTGAATCCAGTGTCACACACTGCCCACTGCTCACTTTCTCGGGAACTAGAGGTGAGGGGTTCAGAGTAGGTAAGATGTCTGGAAATGACCGAGGGTCCCAGCGGAACTAGCCAGCGGTCCTTCCTCACCTGAGGGCTGGGGCTGGGCTCCCGGCATAAGAATCTCCTGCTCAGCCAGCCTGGCTCACTGGTTGAGCGTCAACCTATGAACCAGGAGGTCACAGGACCAGTCAGTGCACATGCCTGGTTTCCGGGTGATCCCCAGTGGGGGGCATGCAGAAGGCAGTCAATCAATGATTCTCTCATCGTTGATGTTTCTGTCTCTCCCTCTCTCTTCCTCTCTGAAATCAATATATATGTATATGTATATGTATATGAATCTCCTTTAAGGAATTTGTTAGAAGTATAGATTTGGAGCTTATCTTTGGTGGGAGCTGAGAATGTGTCTTTATAGAGCTTTCCAAATGACTTGGGAACACAGCCAGGCTTGGGAACTGCTGGTGAAATAGCCACAAGTCCTCATTGTTTCCCAGGCACCGTGTGTCTCCATAAATAAATGAAGAACGACAACCCGATGAGGGACGTACTATCGTGTTTCCCCGAAAATAAGACATCCTCCGAAAATAAGATCTAGCGCATGGAAAGATAAGACACCCCCTGAAAATAAGACCTAGCGCAACTTTGGGAGAAAAAAATTAATATAAGACACTGTCTTATTTTCGGGGAAACAGGGTATTATCATCCTCAGTTTACAGGAAAGGGAGGATGGGGCCCAGAGAGGTTAAGACGTTTACTCGAAGTCACACAGCTTGAAAGTGGTTAAGAGGGCTTTGATCATGACCAGCGTTTGTGTGCATATAACCACATTCACCTACCACCTGCAGCCAGGACACCTCCCTGCTCAGCTCCACATTCAGACCCGCCATTGCTTACCCGGCTACGGCTGTCACAGCATCAGGAAATGGAAATCCGATGGCGTCCAGGGAGGCAAAGAGGAGGAGCATTTAGTGTTTCCCTTTGGCAGTTTGGCAGCCTTGGCTTTCTCTGAGCATGACACATAACAGAGGGCACGTGACAGACACAGATGACCAGAGCTGACGCTAGTCCAGGCGACAGCAGACCACACCCACACAAGTTGTCTTTGGAAACCAATGTCACCCCAACCCCCTTCCTCTGGGCGCAGAGCCCGGTGGAAGGAACAGGGTTTGTAGCAGCGCATTCTTAGCGCCCGGGTTCCTCTGTGAGTTGTTTTGCTTTTGTTATTTGGGGGCAGTCCCATCATCCTGCCCCGCTTCACGGCCTGTCACCGCCAGCCTCCTGTTCCAGGTTGACCTTGAACCGCAAAACTGCTGTCCACGTGGACCGGGGCCGACACCGCACGTCCCTCTGCCAGGACCCCTGCGTCCAGACTCCGAGACATGGCGACGGAGGGCAGCAAGGTGGCGGATGGACAGATCTCCACGGAGGTCAGCGAGGCTCCCGTGGACGGCGACAAGCCCAAAACCCTGGTGGTCAAAGTGCAGAAGAAGGCAGCAGCGGACCTTCCGGACAGGGACACATGGAAGGGCCGCTTCGACTTCCTCATGTCCTGCGTGGGCTACGCCATCGGCCTGGGCAACGTCTGGAGGTTCCCCTATCTCTGCGGGAAGAATGGCGGCGGTAGGTGCTGGCCTGGCCGCCTCCCCGCTGGGCCTGGACCCCACAGGAATGTCCCCCACAGACCTTTCCTGGGGCGGCCTCAGTGCAAGGGGTCCCCTACAGCACATGTGTCAAACACAAGGCCCGCGGGCCAAATCCGCCCCGCCAGGCCTTGCAATGTGGCCCGCACCGCGCTGTCATCACTGCACTCCGCTGCGTTTCCATCACAATGACAGTTTATGACTGTTCAGTAAACCATTCGGCCCGCGATGTAGGCTGGATTTTTAGATGTTGGCCCCTTCTCTGATTGAGTTCGACATCCCTACCCTACAGAGTGTGTCAGGCCCCACTTCCTGTTTCTTGTCCTTTTACCAAAGGCTTCTGAGAGAGTGATGCCCTCTGCCAATGATCTGAAAGCTCACCTCTTCGTTGGCCAAGTGCGTGTGATGTGTTTTGAGCAGGGAGGTCCTTGGGCAGGGGGAGCTGCTTTTGAGGCAGAGAGCCAGCCCGGAAGGCCCCATGGGATGGCCTCTCTGCCCCGGGGCTTCTCCAAAGCCGTAGGCCGCGAGCCTCTCTCTTCTCGACCCCGCAGGGGCCTTCCTGATCCCCTACTTCCTGACGCTCATCTTTGCGGGGGTCCCCCTCTTCCTGCTGGAGTGCTCCCTGGGCCAGTACACGTCCATCGGGGGCCTGGGGGTGTGGAAGCTGGCCCCCATGTTCAAAGGTAAGTCTGCGGAGTGGGGCCGTGGGTCGTGGCGATGATCATGCCCGCGGGATGGTGGCCAAGCCAGGGCCTTCCCCATAGGCTTGTCCCCTCTGGACAGAGGGAGCCGCTCAGCCACGTCCGTGCAGGGTGGAGCCGTTAGGGGGCCAGGTGACCACGCTGGCCCAAACCTAGGACGGTAGAGAGGAGGACCCTGTTTGGAGGCCCCCGCATTCACATCTGTCCGCCCTGTTCTGGGAGCCCATTTCCCTGGCAGGAGCTGGGTGCAACTTTCTTGGTTCCCTGGCTCCGTGCTGACAGACACTCAGGTGAGCACGTGGAGGATCATGCTTTCCCTCAGGCCGGGCCCCAGACCCCTCCTTCAGCCAGTCTGTGTGTGGGGGGCCCCAGACACCAGGCCTGGCTCCCTCACTTGCCAGATGCATGTGACCTTAGCCAAGTCCCTGCCTCTCTCCGAGGCCAAGTGAGGTTGTAGCTGTCGTGGGAAATGATGTCAGTGACGTGCCCTGGGGCCGTCGTGGTTATTGAACGGGTCTCACAAGGGTGTGTTCTCTCCCAGGAGTGGGCCTCGCCGCGGCCGTGCTGTCCTTCTGGCTGAACATCTACTACATCGTCATCATCTCCTGGGCTATCTACTACCTGTACAACTCCTTCACCACGGTGAGTGCCCTCCGCCGGCTCCTGCAGCCAGAGCCAGGCCCAGAGTCCAACCGCTAGGACCACAGTCCTGCTGACAGAGCCATCCCTCCAGCGGCAGGGGGTGAGGTGGTCTTCAGCAGCCCTTGTCTCCCCACAAGTATAGCCCCATGACCTGAACCCCTGTTCGGGGCCAGGCCCTTTGTGGGGTAACATCTAACCCTCATGGCACCCCCTCTAAGGTGGGTATTGTTAGCCCATTTTCTACGAGCTCAGGTTTAAACCCTGACCCTCCTATATTCCCGCTGTGCAACTTTGGGCATGAGGCTGAACCTCTCTGAGCCTCAGGGCTCTCCTGTAGTTGTGAGAATTTTGGAGTAAGCGTGTGTGCAGTGCTTAGGTCTGTGCCTGGTAAGCACCGTAAGTAATCACTGTCAGTATCGGTGTGCACCGGCTCAGAGTCGCATAGCTTGGGAGTGGTCCCGGATGGACACGCAAAACCGTATGGTGCGGTTTGGAAAACTCATTTTCTGAGTGAAAAGCGTGAGGTTCAGACATCGGCAGTGACATGTAGGTGCTGTGTGGTCCTGAGCAAGTGGCTGCCCCTCTCTGATCTCTAAAGCGGGGCTCACGGCAGGACTCACACTCGGGAGCTGCTGGGAAGGGGAGGTGAGAAAACGGCTGTGAGGAGGCTCGGGGGCCTAAGGATGGACAGGGTGTGCTGGGATCACGGTTGCCAAGGCCTGTGGCTCAGCAGGGTTTGTCTGTGTCACTGTGCCTCTGCAGACACTGCCGTGGAAACACTGTGACAACCACTGGAACACAGAACGCTGCTTCTCCAACTACAGCATCGCCAATACCACAAACATGACCAGCGCCGTGATGGAGTTCTGGGAGTGAGTGAGGGCTGTTCGCGGTGGGTGGCCTGTCGGCCGGGGCCAGCGGGTCCAGAGGCACCTCAGAAGGCTGATGGAGGAGGTCGGTGAAGGACTGTTTGTGGAGATGCAGGCAGGGCTGAGGGAGCCCCAGGGGAGGGTGAAACCCCTCTCTCCCCCAGAAAGAGCTGAACCTGGGGAGAGCCACTAGATCCACGCTAGAGAAACCCAGCTGCAGACAGAGCCGCAGGGAGCAGGGAGAACACATCCCGGCATCGCTCTCCTCCCCCGGCTCTGAGCTCCTGCTGTTGGTCAAACCCAGAAGAAGCCAGAAGCCGAGGGAGCTGGCAATAGAGCCATAGCTTTCAGCCTCTGGGGCAAGAGCAGGGTGGAGAAGGGTAGGCAGTGGCCAACGGAAAGGAATAACATCCTAGGCCGAGAAGAATCACCAGAGAGGCCAGTAAAGTCCCAATTCATTCTGTAAACCAGTCCTGAGTCACTTAGAATAAAGACACATACACACACACACACACACACACACACACACGTGTGCATATGCAGACACACACACACACTGTCCATAATGAAGGCCATGCTGATGGTTTCATCATAGAAGATGCAAATCAGGAGCATTTTTTCCAAATTGTGGTCCTGAGACCCTAATCTCTTTGGCATGAAGGCAGCATCTGTGCTGGGCAGCTGGATGGGGTTTCCTCTGCCATTTGGATAAGCTGCCCAGAGGAGCCGTCTCTGGAGGTGTCAGAACACATGAAACGTGCTTGGCTAGGCTGTCTCCTTACGAATAGATATCGGGTTCTGCTCTGGCTGGTCCTGCTTTCAGGCATCTCCCACATACAGTTGTCTCCCCATGTCCAGGCTTCTCATTCAATCATTTATTCAGTAAACATTTCCTGAGCACCTACTGTGTGCCAGTCTGGTTAGAGATGTGGAGAAGTAAACGGGCAGTGGAACACCAAGTGACCAGCACCAAGAGGAGGGACACGGAAGGCTGTGGGGCCCCAAGGAGGAATGGTGTCCAAGGATGGAAAGCAGGGCCAGGGAGACAGATGTCAGAGGCAGGTGAGAGCAAGCACGCTAGAGTGAGGGGGTGACAAGTAGTCCAGTCTGAGTGAGCTTGTGGGGTCCGTGGTGAGAGCCAGGACTAGGGAGAAGCAGGGGCCAGCTCACCATAGCTTGCAAGAGCCACCCGGAGAGCTGGGCTTCCTTCTGAGAACAGTAAAAGCTCTTCATTCAGAACTTCAAGCGGAGGAGTGACAGGACCAGACTTTGCGATTAGAAGGCTCTCTGGGGATGGCAGTGGGGACAGAGAGGAAGTGGAGGAGGGGATCTTGTAAGGAGACCTGCAGCCATCGAGGTGAGCAACAGCGGGGGCTGAATTAAGGCACTGGCAGGTCTGCACTTTCTATCGATTGGTATAATGGGCCCCACCGTCCCCACCCAGCTCTTCGATCTCAGGGAGCACAGATGTCATCACAGTCTCAGGGGAAGGTATCACCTGTGTGCACACACCTGCCCAGCTCCCGGGTCCGTCCAGCCCCCGTGACTTTCGCCTCCCTCCTGTTCCACCAGGCGTAACATGCATCAGATGACGGACGGGCTGGATAAGCCGGGCCAGATCCGCTGGCCTCTGGCCATCACCCTGGCCATCGCCTGGATCCTCGTGTATTTCTGTATCTGGAAGGGTGTTGGCTGGACTGGGAAGGTAAGAGAGGTGCACGGTGGGAACTAGAGGGATGCAGGGATCTCCAACCGGGGCTGGCAGGTCCCTTCATCGCGCTGTGCCTCGGTGGTTTTCTTTCCTTTGGGGAGGTGTAAGGGTCAAAGGAAATAATGCAGATCAGGCCCTTCACAGGGTGCCGGGCTCACATTACTTCTCTTGTGATTAGCCTGGGCCTGGCAGAGCCACTGCAAAGCAGAGGGGAAATGTTGCTCGTTTCCATTAAAACGTCCCTGGGCGCCTACTCTGTCCCCAGCCTTGTCCGAGGTGTGGCAGGTCCAGGGTGACCACTCCACATCCCAGCTCTGAAGAGCAACAGAGATGGGTTGATGGATCGTTGAAGACTCAGGCCTTGTGTTCAAATAGACCTGAGTTCCGACTCCAACTTGGCCACGGACTTGGCCCTGTGCCCTTGGGCAAGTCACTTCACCTCTCTGAAACTTAGTTTCTTCCTCTAAAAAAAAAAAAAAACGAGACTAATTCTATGCTTATCTGTTGGTTTGTTATGCAAATGAAATGAGCCCACGGTTTTCATTCTGACCCTGGCAGACAGCAGGAGTCATTGTTTTTGTTTTTATTACTGGCAAGGACAGAGGCCGGCCAAGTTGGGTTGTGCAACCTGAGGACATGGGTGGGGAGCTTGCCTATCCAACTGGAGGGAGGAAGACTGGCCTCAAACCTACATCTTAAGCCCCACTCCGTGAGTCTGGGGACAGAAGCTCACTGATGTTGGCCTAAAGGACTCAGGGCAAGTGTGCTGTTGAGGTCATGAAGTAAGTGAGGGAGAGAGAGGATGTGAACTGACTAAGCCTGGAGACAGGGAGGTTCAGGCTGCCTAAGAAGCTGAATGAGCAAAACAGAAGCTCCGTGAATTCCACACTTGGGCATGGGCACAGCTGATGGAAAACTGCCCCGTTTGGTCTGGTGGGACCTTTGGGCCCAACAGGTTCTCACATTCAAGGCTGGTTTCAGCAGCTCTGCCCTGTCCCTGGCTGCACAGGGAGGAGGGGCCACAGGCGTCTCTAGGCCCAGCTTCTAGAAGCAGAGGAATGTAGGGGCCTCGTCCCCTGGTGCCCCACTGTGTGCTCCTGGGCACGTCAGTTCCCTTCTCCGAGCCTTAGTCTCCTCATCTGTGACGTGGTCACATAATGGTCATTACAGGGTTGTTAAAAAGACCTGAGGGAGATAATCTGTATACAGAGTGGGTAGCATATGCCTAGCACACGGTAGGCACCCAATGCATGACATCAGTTATAATCACTTTTGGGGGGTATCTGGAGTTCCTGCTACATGAGAAGACTGGCTACTTCTCGGGGACAGAGGGAGGGCCTCCCTCACTACGTCTTTTGAGTGAGCCAACCAGTCCATCGGTGCACATGCACTGAGCACTTCCTGTGTACCTAGCTCCATGCTGAACATGGGAGACACATTGCACTGCAAGACCTAGCAGCAAATATTAAGCATGTTGTAAGTCCTCATGCAACCAAACGTTCTGACCAGCAATGTTGATTGTACCCATTTTCCAGACAAGAAAACAGAGAGGCGTAGGGAGGATAAGAAATTGACCCACTATCACACAGACAGTTCTGACTCCCTTTTCCTACTTCCAAGTACAGTGGTTTTGCTATGGGACTGTGGCCGCCTTTTCTAACCCTGAAGCATCTCAGAGTGAACTCGGGGAGATGAAACTAACCCAAAGCACAATGTATGCTGAGCATGACGCTAATAAAGGTCATTGAACTTGAAAATTGCTCTCTCACACCACTGAGCAAAGAAATGTAATCTCCGCTTTTTGATGATTAATTTGGCAAGAAGTAATTTTTAAGGTGATTATACCCAGGGAAGGTGCTCTCTCTGATGCTGGGCAAAGTTCAATTTCTGGAAGGTAATTAGGCGACACGAGTTAAAAGCCTTTGAGAAACTTATTTTTTTTTCTCAGTAATTCTTCTAGAAATTTTTCCAAAGACAAATATCATTTTTTAGTACAAGTTGCAGTAATGTTTAGTATAACTTGCCTATTTTTGTAGACAAAAATAGTTTTATATTCAGGGGTACCCAATGAAGTAGAATTAAGATTGACATAAACTTGGAAGTGACCTCAATGGATGTTGGAGTCTCCTGAAGGACTATTTTGTATAATCAAAAGATTACATTGTTCTGAGACAATAAAACAATTTTTAGTAAATAAAACAAGAAACAAAGCTGTATGTACTTTTTTTTAATTTTAAGCATGTTAAATGAAAAGGCAAGGACATCGTTTTGTAAGAAAATGTGATCCTATATGCAAAGGAAAGTCTCAAAAGGGGAACAGTCACACATTAAACTCCATGCATCAGTGCATTGGTGTGGCATTTATCAAGTGTCCACTATGTACCATGGACTGTTCTAGGCACTGGGACAACAGAGATGTGAACAAGACAAGCCCTGTCTTTCATGTAGCTTACCTTCTAGAGGCTGCTGACAGGAACTGTGTGTTCCTATGTGATTTTTAAATTTTTCCTGTCACCACAAGTATTATTTTTAATTTAAACAGAAATCAGAGGGATAGGGGAAGGGAAAATTCGGGCACTGGGCTGGTTGGTTCAGACTCCAGGAAGAGCTGCAGAAAAGAGGCCAAGCAGAGCATGTTAGGAATCCAGGAAGGCTTCCTGGAGGAAGAGAACTAGAACCACGCCCAGAGCCACAGCAGGTATAGAGAATGCGAGTGGAAAAGGAGGAGGCATAGGTGTGCTGGGGGTGGGGGTGACCATATCACCCCATATCACCCACTTTGCTCGCAGGTGGTCTACTTCTCAGCCACATATCCCTACATCATGCTGATCATCCTGTTCTTCCGTGGAGTGACCCTGCCGGGGGCCGGGGATGGCATCCTGTTCTACATCACACCCAACTTCCACAAGCTGTCCGACTCCGAGGTGAGTGGTCCTCCCGGCCCAGCGGTACCGGAAGGCGCCCGTTCGGTTAAGTCAGTGGTCGGCAAACTCATTAGTCCACAGAGCCAACTATCAGCAGTACAACGATTGAAATTTCTTTTGAGAGCCTAATTTTTTTAAAACGTAAACTTCTTCTTACGCCACTTCTTCAAACTAGACTCGCACAGGCTGTAGTATAGTTTGTGGAAGAGCCACAACTCAAGGGGCCAAAGAGCTGCATGTGGCTCGCGAGCCGCCGTTTGCCGACCACGGCGTTAAGTGCACACCTGAGTCCCGAGCCACAGGTGACCAGCGTTACGACACGTCACTGCAGCTTTCTGGCCCTTCTACGTAAACTGGGATGGTTGCCAGGAAGAGCTGGTTAGCGTGTGTAAGCGGCCCTGCAGCATGGCGACTTTATGATGATAAATTCTGACTGTTTTTTCTCATTCTGCCTGTAGGTGTGGCTGGATGCTGCCACTCAGATCTTCTTCTCCTATGGGCTGGGCCTGGGATCCCTGATCGCTCTCGGGAGCTACAACAGTTTCCGCAACAACGTCTACAGGTGCCCGTGCACAGGAGCACCTCCTCCGGGGCCGCAGCCCTCCTGGGCCGGCCGCGCCTCAGGCCTTTCCCCTCTGTTAGCTCTGTCTTTCTCAGAGCCAGTCCCTCTGGCCACTCCTTCTGTTCCACTCCCTCCGGAGGTGGTGGTGGTGATGGGTGTGGACCCCCCAGCCCTTTAGCCCCGCTGACAGGTCCTCTTGCCCCCGTGCCCTTTGCTAGCCAGGGCCTCCTTGCTCACCATCCTGCCACCCGTCCTCGCTGACGGTGCCTTCCCTCCCTCGCAGGGACTCGATAATCGTCTGCTGCATCAACTCGTGCACCAGCATGTTCGCGGGATTTGTCATCTTCTCCATCGTGGGCTTCATGGCCCACGTCACCAAGCGGTCCATTGCGGATGTGGCCGCCTCAGGTCAGCACCCACAGGGCCGGGGCTCCGGAGAGGGAGGGGCTGGCGTTGGCGGTCGGTCGTGTCATCACCACCTTCGCCCACTGGCACGGAGGTCACTGTGTGCCAGGCAGCGCGCTGAGCATTCACGTGGGCTGTGTCCCTGGATCGTCCTGACCCTGGGGAGCTAGGGAGGTGGTAGGGCTTTGCAGTGGAGCCCAGACCTGGCTGATGGCAGAGCTTGGCCCGACTGGCACATATCTAGCCCAATCCTGGGCATCGGAGGGAGAAGACTCACGCTTGCCCTCAAGGTGTAAACTTTGGTCCAACTCCAGACATGTTCACCATCAGGACACAAAGCACCCACGTCCATGCATTTGTCCCGGTTCCAGAAACGTTCTCACCAAGTGGCTGTGCCCCTTCTGTGCTCCACGCAGACAGGCAGGGGGCCCAACGGAAACCCTAGGCAGCCGCTCTCTTCCCTGCTCAGGAAAGCAGCGAACATGGACCCGCTGTGTGTACAGCGGCGGCCCAGAGGCTCAGGAAGGAGAAGCACCGTGGGTTATGCTGAAAGGAACGTTCTCCCCCGAGGCCCTAATCTCCCCCACTTGGGCAGCCACCGCCTCATTTCTCTGGAACCCACCGCCACCACCCCTCTTCCCGGAGCCAGACCCCAGGACGGTTACAGTCTCCGTTCTTTTCCTGCCAAGGTTCTCCTGGTCGCCTGATCATCTCCCCACCCCCAGACACTCCAAACACAACACCCCCACACTGACCTCCTCAAGTTTTCCCCTCCCCTGTGCTCCCCGTTACAGCAAAGGGTTCTGCCGGCCAGTGCCCGGAACAGAGCCGGGCATCACTCCGTCCCCTGTCCTCACCTTCACTTGCAAACCCGCCAAGGCCCGGACCTGGCCATCCTACTTCCTGTGCCTCCATCTGGTCACCTCTCTGCCCCTGCACCACCCCCATCGCTGGCCAGGCCGGCGCGGGTCCTCATCCCCCCCCACTGGTCCCCTGGACTGTGGACCCACCCTGCGGCCTCCCCACCACGCACACCCTCCTTCCTCAGGTAGAAGAGGGGGCCGGCGACACTCACTCACAAGGTTGCTTGGAAGACGAAATGGACCTTAGAGAGTGGGTGCGGCCGAAACCGGTTTGGCTCAGTGGATAGAGCATTGGCCTGTGGACTGGAAGGTCCCAGGTTCGATTCCGGTCAAGGGCATATATACCTTGGTTGCGAGCACATCCCCAGTAGGGGATGTGCAAGAGGCAGCTGGTCGATGTATCTCCTCGATGTTTCTAGCTCTCTATCCCTCTCCTTTCCTCTCTGTAAAAACTCAATAAAATATTTTTTTTTTTAATAAAAAGTGGATGTGTACTGAACATGGTGTAGGTGCTTGGTACCTTTTATTTCTACTTTTTATCCTCTCTCCCCGCAGGCCCCGGGCTGGCCTTCCTGGCGTACCCAGAGGCAGTGACCCAGCTGCCCATCTCTCCGCTCTGGTCCATTCTCTTCTTCTCGATGCTGCTGATGCTGGGCATTGACAGCCAGGTGAGGGTGGCCTCCCTGGCGCCTGGAGGAGCCCCTCCCCCCGCCTTGCCCATCTGGGAGGAAGCAGCAAGGGGAGGCCACTGCCCTCGGCCCCCCGAGGAGATGGCCTGGAGTTTCAGACCCCTAGGCTGTCCCATCACATAAAACTCCAGGGACCAGCTCAGCCACCTTCCCCACTTTGGAGATGGGGAAGCGGACGCTCGGAGGCAGAGGCAGAGGCAGATCGGGCCTGGATCGGGGCTCAGCTGGCCCTGCTGTCTTGATGCTGCTGGGCTCTCCCGTCTCCCGCCGTCAGGCTTTGGGTGGGCTGGGGCTGGGGCTGGGGCTGGGCCCTCCGCGGGTGGCTGACCCCTGTTCCCCCCGAAGTTCTGCACGGTGGAGGGCTTCATTACCGCCCTGGTGGACGAGTACCCCACACTCCTCCGCAACCGCAGGGAGCTCTTCATCGCTGCCGTCTGCGTCGTCTCCTACCTGATCGGCCTCTCTAACATCACTCAGGTAAGGGCAGTCAGCCCCCGCACACCTCTGGTGCTGCCCGCCCCAGGGCCGCTCCCAGGCCCTCTGTCTTAGCCCACTTTACCCGCCAAACCCCGTTCGTTGAGTACCTTCTCCGTGCCAAGCCCAGCACACACTGCACGGAGTAAGGTGGGGTCCCTTCCCTTAAGGGGCTCCTGGGTTGATGGGAGACACAGACAATGATGCCGAAATGATGGGCGGAGCTAGAGAATATAGCCCCTCACCTGGCCTAGGGCACCGGTCCCCTTCCTGGAGAAGAGGATGCAGGGGCTGAGTTTTAAAAGACTCGAAAAGATTAAAGAATCTTGGCTGCGTGGGTTAGTTGGTTGGAGTATGGTCCCGTACACCAAAAAGTTGCAGGCTTGATTCTCAGTCAGGCACACACCTAGGTTGTGGGTTTGATCCTCAGTTCGGATATTCAATAAAAAAGTCCTCGGGTGAGGATTTTAAAAAATTTAACAGCAGAGTCCAGGCGGAGTTAGTTGGGCCTTCCCTTTCATTTCTACTTGTTGTCCGCCCCCCCCCCCCCCCCCGGATATTAATGAGCAAGGCTGTCTGCATTCAAGCCCCCCCTCAGTCTACTCAGAAGACAGGGATATCACTGATGAATTGTACAATAAGTATAAATGGCCCTAAAGCCATGAGTTCAGCCCGTAGGTCTGATTTATGATCCACAAAACCACCCCTGGATTCACATACAGTTCAGACCTAGAATTATTGCTGATTCATTCTTTCATAATTGATGAACACCGACTGCGGGCCCCGGGGTGACATTGAAGATTCAGGAGTTAACCTGACAGACAGCATCAGCTCTCTTGGATAAGACTGGCACACACATTAGATCATTAAGTGCCACGAAGAAAGGAGGATAGTGGACCAGAGAATGACGAACAGGGACGGGGAAGATGCTACCTCAACAAAGTAGTCAGGGGCAGTTCCTGAAACTCAAATGAGAGGAAGATCCATCTGGGGGAGACATAGCTAGGGGAAGCAAGCACAGCAGGTGCAAAGGCCCTGAGGTGGGAATGGGCACGGTGAGCTGGAGGAGCAGTGTGGTGGGGCAGAGGGGGTGAGGGGCTAAGTGGGGGATGTAGATCCAGAGATCATGCCAGGACCTTGAAGGCCAAGGCACTGGATTTTATTGTATTATTTTATTTTTTTATCTTTCTACCTATTTATGTATTATATTATTGTCTTATTCAATAATGGGAGGTTTTGAGCAGGGGAGGGACTTGACTGACTCAGCATTGTGGACAGATGGCCCCTCGTCTGTCCTCCAGCATTACCAGAAACGGGGCACGTCCCTCCATGCCCCGCACGTTTGCACATTTTCTGCCCAATCCCAGAGAATCCACACCCACACCCGCCTTGCTGCGGTGTAGCCCAAGCCCAGCCTCCTCAGACTGCAAGGCCCAGGTTGATTGTGAGCTGAATGCACGGGTCCCTGGAAGTGGCCTCACGCTCACGTTTCTGCTCCCGCAGGGGGGCATTTATGTCTTCAAGCTTTTTGATTACTACTCTGCCAGTGGCATGAGCCTGCTGTTCCTCGTGTTCTTTGAATGTGTCTCCATCTCCTGGTTTTACGGTGAGCATCAGCCCTCCTCCCCCTGTCATTCATTCATTCACTCATTCATTCATCATTCCTGTCTTCAGTTACCATTCAACCAGTACAACTTGAACACCAGGCCCCTTCCATACATTCATGTGTTTAGTTCTCACAACTCGGTGGTGTTACCACAGGAGGTCCCCTGTTTAGAAGCTACCATAAGAAGAACAGTTGAATAAAATCATTTAACACGGGAAGCCACGATGTCTTTGTAAATTTGGGGATAAAATGGTTTGTTTGAGATTTTTATCTAGAAAAGGGAAATCAAGACTACGAAAAATTCTACAGTTAAAAGTACGCACGATCCTAGAACAAAGAATGAAGGAAATGATGGCTTTATGGGTTGGTTTTGTGGCCTAAGTTTCCAGACCAACTGCATGGTAGTCCAAGCATATCCTTCCCTGCTCTTTGATGATCACGGCAAGGCGACATGTTTGAGAGAAATGTCCTCCGGGGCCCCTCTTCGTACCTGATAATCATTGTGTCTTTCTTGCCACTTTACCTCCCCTTTCCTCAACTCTATCTGGCCTCGTGCTATCAGATCCTCCTTGTCAGTGAGTTTGCTTATAATTGGAGCAGTGCCCAGCATTACTTTATGGCATCTGTGGGTCTTTCCAGGATTTTCCGTTCTTTTTTTAATTTTTTTTATTTCTTTATTGATTAAGGTATTACATATTTGTCCTCAACCCCCATTCTAATCCCCCACCCCCCTATTGTCCTGGACCACTGGTTAGGCTCATATGTATGCACATAAGTCCTGCCGTTCTTCTTTGCAATCTATCACCAGTTGCTGATAGCATCAGATCAACAGGGAAAACCATCCTGGCCCAGTAAGGCTTTGCAGGAATGGCTGGGACCGATGATGCCTGGGGGGGCATTAAGAATGATGGGGACACGTTTTGTAAGCATATCCAATTTTGGGTAGATATTTTCATGTTCGGGTGATTTGCTTTCCCACACTGCCTACTTGCTGTGGGGATTTGATTATTGATTAATTAGATATTGAGCACCCCTCAGAGCATTAGCCCCACGTTACAGATGAGGGAACTGAGGCCCAGAAAGGTTGGGTGACTTGTGTATGGTCACACTGTGAGAAAGGGACAGATTGCGTTTAGCCTGTAACACCCACAACTCATCCATCCCTCCGTCCTGCTTTTGCTCCACACGTCACAGGTGTCAACCGATTTTATGACAACATCCAAGAGATGGTGGGCTTCAGGCCCTGCATCTGGTGGAAGCTCTGCTGGTCCTTCTTCACCCCGATCATTGTGGCGGTAAGGACAACACCCGGCCAGCCCTGCTAGGATGAGCACAGACTAGGCCCTGGGTCCCGAGAGAAACTTCTGGAGGCAGAGGTGGATGGAAGAGGCCCCAGGCCCCTGTTCCCTAATGATAGCACTGCCTGCCATTTGTTGAGCATCTGTTTTGCTCTCTGTATGATGCCAGACACATTACATCATCCCTGCGATCCTCAGACAAATAGACATCAGTGCCCCATCTTACTCCTGGGGACCCAGCGCTCCCCCAGCCAGCACCCCCCATCGTGTGGGCGCTGCACTCAAACCTCATCGGCCTGATTCTGGAGCCCAAACTATTCATACAGGGAGGCTTCTCATTCTCAGCACCTCCCATTCCCCTTCTGCAGGGGGGAGGGGAGGCATGAGCAGGCCTTGGAGGGGGAAGCCCCACGTCCTTGGGTGGTCGGGAAGCTGGGGCCATTACACAAGTTGTGTCTTGAACAAAGGCGCCCAGCCAATGGCGAATGGCGACTGACATCCAACTGTCCTGCTTGCCACGCTGGTGAACGTGGAGGAAGGGATGCTGTTTCTGTCAGTCCTCTCAGAGGAGTCGCCTTTTTCCATTGGTCCTTCCAGAGGGTGTGCCCTTTTCATACGGGCTTTCCCAGGAGGGGTGCTCTTTTCTATTGGTTGTCATGGAAGTGTCTCCTTTTGCCATTGGTGCTCCCAGAGCACAAAGGCTTGCACCAAGGCTTCTTATGAACCGGAAGTGGCCTTGAGGGCAGAGTCCTAGCCTTAGGGTGGTGGTGGGGGAGTGGACCTGTCAGCTGCAGGATCTAAAGAGGGACCTTGGTTGACCAATATGTGTGACCTACTGCCCCCCCCCCCTCCAGGGTGTGTTCCTTTTCAGCGCTGTGCAGATGACTCCTCTCACCATGGGGAGCTATGTTTTCCCCAAGTGGGGCCAGGGCGTGGGCTGGCTCATGGCTCTGTCCTCCATGGTCCTCATCCCGGGGTACATGGTCTACATGTTCCTCACCCTGAAGGGCTCCCTGAAGCAGGTAAGCCTCTTCTTCACCCTTTGCGTCATCGGTCCCTGTCCCTCACTGTGCTGGGCATAGCCCTACCCTTGTGGAGCTCACGGTCTAGTGGACAGATCAATAGCCAGTGACAGTGGAGTGTTAGAGGTGCCGTGATTGGGGTAAATCGGGGAAATGGGTGGAGGAAGGTGAGGGAAGGCCTCCTGAGAGAGGGGAGAGCTGAGCATGAGCCAGAGTTAGAAACAGAAGCAGAAGATTGTTCCTAGAAGACGGGGGAGCATGTGCAAGGCCCACAGGTACAGACTTCTCACTGTGGCCGGAGGGTAGAGTGAGGAGGGGTGCAGGGGGTGATCGGAGATAAGGATGGGAATTTAAGGTCTGGCCAGATCATGGAGGGCTTTGAAGATCACAACGAGAGCTTTGGACTTTATCCTAAGGGTAATGGGGAGCCATCGAGAGTTCGGAGCAAATGAAGGGTGGAATCAGACGTGTTGAGGGCGTCCTCGAGGCCTCATTTGTGAGCTTGGTAAAGAGGAAGCACGGTCTTACCCTCAGGGAAGGCAGAGCTCTAAGGGGTGTTTCCCTAGCAGCGGCTCACTAGCACGTGAGGGCCATGCCAGCTCTTCGGTATCAAGTTCTTCACGGCCGTCCGTGCTGGAGGCAACGGGTACTAGAGGCAGGAATGGAGCCAGTGTGGGCTGAGGCTATTTTGCTGAGGAAGGGGGGAGAATCAGGCTGTGGAGGCCACAGCTCTCCACCCTGTTTCCCACCAAGATGTCCTCGCTAGAAGGAGGGTGGGGTCTGCAGCCCAGAGAAGGGGGTGGAGGGCTGTGTGCAGTCCCTGGAGCTGCTGGGAGCCTCCGTTAGTCACAGGGGGAGAAACTGGGCCACTTGAGGAAGCCGCTTACCCATTCCTGGCGGAGCTGGGGCCTGCAGCCCTTTCATCCAGCTCCGCGTTGGAGTTTTCATTTCCCGTTGTTCTCCATGAGCCCCGGAGGAAGCCAGGGCTCCTTTGCGGAGGAGAGCACAGCCTGTGCGAGGGCGCCGGTGGGAAAGGGCAGCGAGGTGCCTCTGAAGGCGGCGTGTTAGTTGATAAGGCAGGACTGCAGGCTGTGCAGGGAGAAGGTGGTGGGAGAGTCACACGTCCCGAGAATATGTATCGGGCATCCACCAGAGGCCAGACATTACTGTCAGGATTGGGGACACGGCATGGAACAAGACAGGCAAAAATCTCATCCTTTCAGAGCTCATATGCTAGGAGAGGAATATCATCAAATAACAAATCAAAAGCGAATTAGATGGGGAGGAGTATTATGGAGAAACCCAACATAGGAGGGCGTTTAGGGAGTGCTGGGCAAGGCCTCACTGAGGGGATGACCCTGAGCCAGGACCTAACGGAGGTGGACACCGCGCGGTGTCACTGTCGGAAAGGAAGGATGTACCGGATGGTACAGCAAGTGCAAAGGCCCCGGGCAGGTGTATGCCCGGTGTGTGAGGAGCAGGGAGGAGGCCAGCGTGGCAGGAGGAAGTGAGTGAGGGGATGAGGGGAGGACGTAGCCGTCTGAGATAACAGGGCCCAGATCATATGGGGCCTTAACAGGACTCTGGGGAAATGGGAGCCATTGTTGCATCCTGAGGAGGGATCCGATCTCTAACATGACTGCCTCCCAGCCGCTGTGCTGAGACTAGAACTAAGGGGGTGATAGTCAGGGATGGACGAGGAGGGCCCTGGGGGGTTATTGCTATAACCCAGGTGAGAGGAGGTGTGCGTGGAGGGTGTGGAGGATGTGGAGACTCGGCCAGAGTCTGGGCACAGCTTGAAGGCAGAGCAGACAGGACAGACTTGAAAAGAAGGGGGAACAGAGAGCCAGTCTCCTTCCGCCTCAGCCCGAATTCTCCCCGGTGCCCACAGCGCATTCAGGTCATGATCCAGCCTAGCGAAGACATCGTGCGCCCGGAGAACGGCCCCGAGCAGCCCCAGGCCAGCGGCTCCGCCAGCAAGGAGGCCTACATCTAGGGGGACGCTCTCGCCCCCCACCCGGCCGAGCAGGACCACCACTTGATGTCTGCAGATACCACCTACCTCGAGTGGCGCGTCCGGACTCCATCACTGCGCAGCGGGGGGAGGCGGGGGGCGGTCTCACCCCTGCCGGGTCCTGCCTCGGGCAGAAATGCTCTATCAGCTCCGGCACCTGCCGGCCGGTGACCTTTTTAATCTGGGCCCATCAGCACCACGCAGAGGGCATCTGTGACTGCCGCGGTAGGTGTCACTTTTATCCCCGCCAGCGAGCGTGATCGGCGAGGCTGCACGCTCCTGGCTTTTTAGTCGTCTCCCTGACTGTCCTCTTACTGCCGAAACCCACGACTGTTACCTTGGACTTTGCAGGAGCTCGTTCCCGTCGGAAGGCCGCTCTGTACACACACGAAAGGGCATTTTGTATCACAGAGATTTCTAGGGAGAGCTCGCTCTTACGTAGCAGGGAGCCCTCGGAGCTCTCTCTCCGGGTCTGGTTTCCTCCTTCCCGAGGCAGCTGACCTTAACACGAGCCCCAAGGACCTCCGCCGGGTCCTTCTTCCCAGCCGCCGGCGGAGGGATCATCTCGGGGGCTAGGCCTTCCTGCCCGCTCCTCGCCAGGCCGTGCTGGCTGCCCCTGGCCCTGCCTATTGGGAACTGCCACAAGCACAATTAATTCTCTGGCCACCATTCCAGGGGGGCGTCTACCGTCCTGCTGGGGATGTTCCCTAACCGAAGCCCCCGTTTCTCTTAGGTTATAGAGCACAGAGCAGCTGTGGGGGAAATCAAGGCCAAGTCCCACCCCTGAGTCCACATGGATCCAGGTACCTTTTTAGAACTAGCTCCTCCCTCACTACCACCCCAATTCTTCAAAGCTGAGGCCCCCTCTCCTTCTCTGAAACTCCTCAGTGGGAGCCCACTCACTGCCACTAAAATCTACCCAGCCACCAACGGAGGCGCCGGTGTTCATCCCCACCCCCGTCCCCACCCACCTCCAAAGTGCTTCCGAGACTAAAGCTGCTTTCCTGGGAAGTCGATTTTGTTCCTTTCCGGAATGGGCTTCGTGGTGATGGCAAATCGGCACGTCGGGTGGAGACAGTTCCTTGCAAACCCCAGTGACTCAGTGTTTCTTGTTGCCAGGAAGATGGGTTCCCAAGTAGCCAATCGTCCGTGGTGCCCTGTAGCTCCTTCACTAGTTATAGCTCACAAACTGTGTTTTACAACTAATCTTTGATAACTATGGTAAATAACTGTGACTGTGGGTTCTTAAATCTCTTGTCATTCTCATGTGACAGTGACCAGCATATCAGTCCTTGCAATAAGGTGTTACCCTCAGCATATTAAGCACATTATTGTAGAGAAAACGCACAGCACGTGTACACACACACACACACACACACACACACACACTCTCTCTCTCTCTCATCCTCCCTCATGGTATGTAGGGTCTTGTTTGATATCGTGTAGGAAATCTAAAGCCTGTTCCCGAGATCATCTGTAAAATAGACTCATTGCTAAGGCATCCCAAATGCCAGCCGGTGACTCCGTGATCAACCTGCATAGGTATTGTTCTATTGCATAGGGTTTAGACCGGACGGAACCCTTCACTGTGTATCATGCTCCCACTCCCATCCTGAGTGAATCCCTTTAGAATAAGGGCAGGAATTCCTCCAACTTCCTCTTCGTTCTTCTTTGGTGTGAGACTAAGACCAAGTCTTTTTAAGACAATACAGTGTATTTCATGTTCGTAAGCAAATCTAAGTGAGACGTTTGGCAAGAAATCCCCTAACTGATTTCCATCCAAACCTACTTCTATAGCACAATATTACGTGTCGTACAATTACTGTGAGAACTGTGAATATGTGTAACATTTTTTTTTTTTAGTATTTGCCCTGGGGGGGGGGAGATATTGTATTATCATATATGCTTTTTTTTTTTTTTTTGCAATAAGGATTTATTCTCAGAACACCAAGTAAATCTATCTCTATATATAAAAAATATATATGTAATATAAACATATTCAAACTATATACAGAGCCTGTTTTAAAATAATTACAGTGTTATTTAGTAAGATGATCTGTTCTATGGACCAAATGTAAAATATTTATAAATGGAGATGCATTTTAAATGTCTATAAATGGTGTCATAACTGGAGCACGGACATTATGTACATTTCTAAGAATTTAGAGGAAAAATAATAAAGGTTCTATGATATGTCTACAATGTCAGACATTGAATTCTTGGGGGTGGGGGCACAGTTGCCTCTTTAATCAGACTAAACACACACACAGAGAATGTTATTTTTCCTCAACAGAGAGAGAGGGGAGGGAGGTTGGGGCTCACAATTCAGGGAAATAGAGCTGGACTTCCAAAAAGTCTTGGAATGTGTAGCTAAAACATGTCTCTGTGCTACAAAAGGGAGTATTCTCACTGTTTTAGAAAATTTTAATGTGGTCTACTAAATAAAGGTCTAAACCCAGGGTAACAGGAACATGTTTAGTTAACAAGGACATTCATGCATTCACTCATTGATTCATTCCTTAAAATACTATTGTTTTTAAAATTATTATATTATTGTTATATTTTTTTATTGATTTCAGAGAGGAAGGGAGAGGGAAAGAGAGATACAAATATCAATGATGAGAGAGAATCATTGATTGACCTCCTCCTGCATGCCCCTTCCTGGGGATCAAGCCCACAACCTGGGCATGTGCCCTTGACCAGAATTGAACCTGGGACTCTTCAGTCACCAGGCCGATGCTCTATCCACTGAGCCAAGCCAGCTAAGTCTTTAAATCTTACTTTAAAAAAGTTTAATTCTACAGAGAAATGCAAATGGTTCAATGGACACCCAGATTCACCAGTTGCTGACGTAGAGATAATATTCTCTCTGTTAGTCCAAGTTCAATCTGGGGTAGCAGAACCACCATGAATAATATGGAATAAGGGATTTATTGTAGGAACAAGACCTTAGCCAACTGAGGTGGAAGTTAGGAAGGAAGGGTCTGAAAGAGAGGGTTGGGGAGATCAGAGCAAAGTCACTAAGCAACTTGAGCAGAAGAGATCTGAGCGATGTGTGTGCCCACAGTGCTTTGCTGCCCCTTTTGCAGACTGAACTCCCGGTGCCATGTGAGCACAGGGTTCCAGTGGATCCACAATGCGTGCGGTTGAGTGAGACTCAAAGCCTGCCAAAGGCAAGCGTGTGATGTTTGCGACCGAGTAAGCAGTGGCTCCGAGAGGCCACTCTATTTTTTAAAAAAATATATATTTTATTGTTTTTTTACAGAGAGGAACAGAGAGGGATGGAGAGTTAGAAACATCAATGAGAGAGAACCATCAATCAGCTGCCTCTTGCACACCCCCTCCTGGGGATGTGCCTGCAACCAAGGTACATGCCCTTAACTGGAATAGAAACTGGAATCGAACCTGGGACCTTTCAGTCCGCAGGCCAACGCTCTGTCCACTGAATCAAACTGGTCACTCTATTTGAACCAGCACGTGGTTCGGAGGCAGAAAGAAGGCAGTGGTGTTCTAAGAAACACCCATCACCCATCACCCTCCTCATGTTCTGTTACTCCAGGCGCTTCCCTGATCAGCCAACCACTTACACTTCCTGTGATGGCACAGGAAGAAAGGGAAAGATGTGCTAACTCACACTCTCTTTCCCTTCTCGGTCAGCTGGAGGTGGTGAGGATTGGCAGGATGGGTGCATGTCAAAGAGGTGAGAGAAGAGCAGCTCAATTTTGTGTAGGCTTTTCTACTGGCCTGATACGCACCATGCCAATGCCTACCCAGGCTTCGGAATCCATGTGAAATTCACACATGAACTCAACGCTCTTGCATTGGTATACTATAAAGATGAACCATACAGCATATGCTAACGATTTAGATTTCAAATTTCCCTTTCCTTAGGATAATATTAAATGGGACATTAAGAAGCACCATGACCGGTCAAGAGAAAGACCATGGAGGAAGGCAAGGCCTGATTTTAGTGCCTTCAGCAGCACTTTCCCTGCTTTTTGGACAAGGGCCCTGCGTTTGTCTTTTGAACTGTTTTTTAGTATTTGCTCGGGGGGTGGGGGGGTGGAGAATATATTGTATTATCATACTTAGAGGCCTGATGCATGAAATTTGTGCAAGGGTAGGCCTTCACAGCCAGGCCTCCCCCCGACCCCTGCCTGCACCCCCCTTGGCCTGGTACTGCCCACTACACTACCCCCAGGTTTGATTTGGGGTGAAAACCAAAAAGCACTTGCTGGTCTGTATTAGGGGGCAAGGACATGTTCTGCCTCTGGCTCCTCTAGATGGCCTCAAGCCTGCTTCCTTCCCTTCATTCCGGTCTCTGCTCAACTGTCATTCCTCCAGAGGCCTTCCTCACCACTTACCCAAAGCAACACGCTTCCCGGTCTCTCTGTGTCCCCTAACTCTGCTATATTTTCCTTTAAACAAACAAACAAACAAACAAACAAAAAAAATATATATATATATATATATTTTATTATTATTATTATTATTATTATTATTTTTTACAGAGAGGAAGGAGAGAGAGAAACATCAATTTTGTTGTTCCACTGTATATTCATTAATTGGTTGCTTCTTATATGTGCCCTGACCGGAGATTGAACCCACAACCTTGGCATATCGGGATGATACTCTAACAAAAAGAGCTACCCAGCCAGGGCCTGCTTTATTTTTCTTATTTTCAGGGTTTGTATGTTTATTCATTTGTCTGCCTCCCTATAATATAAAGGACACTCTGGAGGGATAAAGACTTTTTCTCGTTTATTACTCTTTCCTAAATGCTCAGAATAGTGCCTGACACATGGTAGGAGCTCAATAAATACATGAGTGAGTGAATGAATGAATGAATGAATGAATATGAACAGAGAATGACAATATAACAGCCATTGAGGTTGCTGGCTTTGGGGTCAGACAGCCCTGGACATGAGTGACAGTTCTGCCGCTCACTCTGCATGCTTCTCTGAACATGTCGGTTAAATCTCTTTATGTCTCAGTTCCCACACAAAATTGTGGTTAAAGTGAAAATAGTTAAATAAAACAAGGAAAGCACAAAGCAGAGTGCCTGGCCCAAAATGAGCATGCAAAAAATAGCAGGTGTTATTATGAGAGCTTCCCTTAAGGATCTTTTCATCCAGAGCCTGTGTTTTGAAGGATTTTGTCTACCAAACTGTCATTTAATAATAAGCCCTCTTTTTTTAAATTAATCAGATGTGGCTGCTAATTAGAGCTCCTGATTAGCATGAGGTAACCAGGGTGACAGCACTGAGCTGATATCATTCCAGACATAAACAAAGCAATGTGGCATTTCGGGAACCCAACTCAACCTGATGGTGGGCAATTATGTGACTTCCTCCGGCTCAGTGTCACGTGAAAGGAGTTCCAGACACCCCGAGGATCTCTCCAGGGACCCGGCCAGTCCGGGGCCTCAGGTGGGGTCTGAATCTCCACCGGCTCACGGAAACACCTGGTGGCAGGCTTTGCATTTCTCCTCTTTAAAACCAAAGCCATACAGAATGCTTTGAGAAGCAAACTGCCAGGCGGGTGACCACAGCCCTGGGCCACGTTAACGAAAAAAGAACACAACAATGGCCTGCGATCTCACACCCCAATTGTGTGCGCGTCTCTCTCTTCTCCAGATGACCTCGCAGCCAAGGAGCCGCTGAGCCCATTCCGAGGCCTGCGCGTTGTTACGGGCCCTCCCTCCGAGGGCTGCCTGGTCTTCCTGGTGAATGATGTCCATTTCCACTCCCAGGAGTATCTGTGGGGATCATCCCCCACACCCTGCCTCAAACCAGGTCTTGTTATTTTCAAAATTTCCAGTGTCACAGCCAGAGATAACCCAGCTTATATTGCTTTGAATGTCATTGGTGCTGGTCTTTTTTTTTTTTTTATGGGTTTCTGGCCTTTTGTGCTTACTTGGCCTCTCCTCTCTGTCCTCACAACCTTTCCTTTTGTGATCCTCTTGGGGACTCCCGTGGGTCAGACCTCACCGAGCTGCTGTGCGGCCCTTCGGAGAAGTGCCCAGTGCTGTGGGCAGTGGTGGCAGCAACAACAGTGATAATGACAATGAGCCTTTATTGAGGCCCCACGAGATGAGAAGGAGGGGCCAACCACCTCCCCAGTGCTTTCCCATCGCCCCTCCCAGCAGCCTGGGAGGCAGTAAGTGCCTCCCCCTCCCCCCGTCCCACATCGACCAGCTGCCTCCTGCACACCCCCAACTGGGGATGTGGCCGCAAGCAAGGTACATGCCTTTGACCGGAACCAAACCAGGGAGCTTTCAGTCCACAGATCGACACTCTATCCACTGAGCCAAACCGGTTTCGGCAAAACTATATATTTTTTAAAGCGGAAACCCACATGAGCTTGCCAAATGTGGAGGAGGACAATTTACTGACAAGCTCATCTCGTTCCGATGTTCGTGCACTGAAGGCCTGTGCTTTGCTTCCGGAAGAAAGTCTCCTGGGACTGAAACGTGCTCGTGGGGGCGGGTGGGAGCCCAACCAGGGGGAAAACTAATAACGCTGCCCGCGGAGAAACCAAGGCCCCGCAACCCGTTCACTGCAGGTTTCACCTGGAGTTTTTAAGGGGATTTTTGGGAGTTTTTTTGTTTGTTTGTTTGTTTGTTTGTTTTTGAGGTTTGGGTCAGGTCAGGTCTGAAAAGAAGCAGACACCAAGACAGAATGAAAAGTGAGATAGATTTGCTCGGGTGCGTGCCTTTAAGTGACTCAGCGGAGAAAGGGCAGGCGCAGGCAGGCGGAGACTCAGGCCCCTCTGATGCCTGATGCTGGGCACCTGTGCAGGGAGCCGGGGAGGGAGGGAGCTGGGGCAGGGAGAGCCCCAGGCCGCAGGCTGTGCTGGGACCCTGTCGGCCAGACCAACGGACCAGACCAACGGACGGCCCCAGGGCAATGACTGTCAGTAGCGGTGTCCCCGGCAGAGAAATGTCCAGGCCCCAGGACCTCTACCAGCCTGACGGGGCCTCCGGGGAGAGTTCGGACTTATTCAAACACTGCGGTGGACCCTGAAGCCAGTGCGGCTGGAAGGGCAGGCCGGCGGCACGCCCACAGCCGCTCTCCGAGTCACAGGGATGCAGGGACAAGCAGAGGACACTCGAACGCCTTCTGCCTGCCCAGCACTGTCTCATGGAATGCTGTGGATTCCCACCACCAATCTACTCAAAGGTAGGGCTTCT